GGAAATGACCTGTGACGTGCATGTTTGTCATGTCGATAAAGGCACTCTGCTTTGAAGGGGCAGCATCTGTATCTCGTGTAGTAACTGCAGCTTTTCTTACTAGAATCACAGGAGATGAGAGGACAGGAGGCTTTTCAGTTGCATGTGGCAATTTCTCACACAAATCATAAAAAACCATTGGCCTGAGATTTCAAGCAATGTCACATTAAAATTTACATAATGCTAAAAGGAAAACTGCATTAAAAAAAAAAACACCATTTTATTCCCATATACTAATGTAGCACCATAATGGATGTGCAGTTCTAGCTTGCAAAATAGTTTTAATACCTAATCAGGGTAATTCAGCCTCTGTGAAATGAGTCTTCTGTATCATTACCTCCTTAATTCAATGCATTTTGTGTTGGTCCAATCAGATACATTAGTGTGCTTTTTTGCATCAAAGGAGCTACTTTATGGCTTAACTTTGACCTACAATACTTCTGTACCAGTTTTACACGTCTTCGTGATTACACAGTTCAGCTCAAATCCAGTCAACTTTCAGGATCTAAATTAAGGCTGCACGATATTGAAAAAAACCTGCCATTGCTGTGATATATAGCGCAATATGAAAGAAACAGGAATTTTCACCAGATTACCTTAATTCCCCCCTCATACATTTTCCCTACGAAATAACCCCAAAATTCTTTTCAAATAAAACAATCTTCAGTTTTAACACTTTGTGTGCCAACTATCCTTTAAGCTTTAATGCAGTAAACATATTTTAAATGATAAAAAAAAAAAGTGCATCTTTACAAAGGTGCTTCTTTTTGCAACCAAATCCACCGTTTCAGTGGTTTTCTCCTGTTCCTCACTTTCAAGGCCCATTTTGGCTGTTGATAAACTGATCAAGAACAGTAGTGCAATTGGTTGTTCGCTGTGCATGCAGAGCCTGCTTGTCACTCACTAAAAACAAACTGTATCCAAGAACCCTTAAAATCAGAGTAAATTATGTTTCGTCAGACAGACTTCTCTTGTAGGAGAGTTGAGGTGATTAAGTTAATTTGACTTGCTTGACATTACATTGTTCTGCGATGTGACCATTGCGCATGGGCACATTGCGATGACAATGCTGAAACGATATTGAGCAGCCCTACTCTAAAGAGGTGTTTTAGATCACCAAGTTAATCTGTACGCTTCAAAAACATAGGCTTATTAGAATTTGTGTAAGTGGCCAAATTATCAGTGCAATAAGAAGTTTGACCATCCCATTTGTTTAATACAAGTCCCCCTCAATTTTAAATCAAGGTCAAGTTCTACATATTCCAGCGAGACATGAAGCTGGAGATTGATTTTGGTAGCATCACATACTACCAGAAACTCTGATAGAGCAAATCATGATGCCTTTGATGAGACTTGGTTGAGATTAATAACTCAGTTGATATTAATGCAACCCCCACAGCACATCAGGCACAAGAATTACTTCTTAAAACGTCCATGTTCAGGAACCCCCCCCCCAAAAAACATGCAGGATAAGCGATATTAAGAGGATGACTGAAACCTATATAGAGAACTACATAGCAATGATGTATAAAAGGGGTAGACTTAAATTCCTTTAAAACTCATCAGGTATGAGTCGCGTTAAGCCCTGCTGCAGTCATTAGTGCATCTATGAAAGCTGAATCTCACACCATACCTGAATTTCTCTTTGAAGGCAGCGACTACCCTTTCCTTTGCTTGACCTTCAACCCAGTAGTTGTTAGGCACATAGAAGGGTGACCTTATGCGGCACTGTGGGCAGCTCCTGAGGAATAATCATTAAACAGTGATGTCAAGTGAAATCTTTAACGGGGTATTGACAGATACAGTTAAATATTTATGAAACTTTTTGGGGAGGTGTTGCGAGTCAGTGGTGGTGTTTCATGTTTTTAATAATGGACCCCTGAATCTGACAAAGTTGAACTGAAACCTACTTAACCACGTCCGGCCCGAGGTCTTTTGTTTTCCTCCAGGTCATGATGCATTGTAAACAGAAAGCGTGACTGCAGTTTGGAAGGATTCCAAAGACATGGTTTCTTGGGTCTGTCTTTTCATACACTTTGTCCATGCAGATCCCACAAGTCACATTTTTACTCTGGAGGTAGGCCTGCATTTCCTCCACTTTCCCTTGGGTACTAGAGGGCGCAGCAGCAGCTCCACCATCCTCTGTTGTATAACTGGAAGAAGTCTCCTGGTCACAGAAACTTTGTAATCAGTATAAGCCTCCTGGGTTCAATTTGGTTTAATTCACCAATATGCCCTGTAGACAGATAAGACTTGAAAACGAAGCGAACCTGCTCATTTCTTCCAACACATGCTTGTGCATCCTCAGAGCTCTGGTTCGAATCACAAGAAGCAGTGTGATCAGAGAGAGTATCTGTAAAGAGAAAAAAAAAAGAAATAAGGTTAGTGAAGTATGGAGGAATGCTGACCCAAGTCAGTTTAACCCATGAAAACACCAAATACCGTGCAATGGTTCCTCCGCAATATGTGCTGCCAGGCGCCCAATGTTGAGTTGAGGATTTGACACATTAGGCATCACCTCTGATCTGCGGCATTCCTGCCTGGACATCACCTCAGCCTGCAGAAGAGCAGGCTCTGACCCCCTTCTGTCAGGTTGAGCGTAAGCCACAGAGGAGGAGGAGGAGACGGCAGGCATTGAACCTCTTCTACCTGCAACAGCTGCATCAACTTCAGGTTGAAGAACATGGAGGTATCTAGAGGTGGAAAATATTGAATGAGCAAAGGAAATATATGTGCATGTCATCTTTTCTCATTTATTTACAGGGGGGTAAATAGCTTACCTGCAGCGTTCACCATACCAGCATCCACCTTTCTGGAAGTACCTACATATCTGGGCTGACGGTATAACTGGCCATTCATGACGATAATTACACCTTGGACCAAATCTGCAAGAGCCATTTATGAAACGCCTGTAATGCAAAGGGACGGAAGTGAATTTTTCCCATGTTGAGTTAGAAGCAGAGCTGTTTTATATCTTTTGGGGCAAGTCTGAGTCAAGTCACAAGTTTTCATAAACAAATTCCAAGTCAAAAATGCAACACAAGCCATGTTTGTTTGTTTATACATAGCTGAGGCCTGGTCCATTCAATGCATAGGTACAAATAATAAGTGTGAGGCAATGCAAGGCCTGCCTCAGGTCCCAAGTCAATAAAGTCCAAGTCAAGTCTTCTTTCAAGTCAAAATCGTATAAAAAGCTACACAAAAACATACTAGCATGTATCGTTTAACGAGTGGAAAATCCAATAACGTGACCAAGGTTGTGGAGTGTTAAGGACAGAACAGGTACGTTTAAAAAAAAACAAAGGTAAATAAAAGACAATTAACCGTTGCCCTATTAAAAGAGCTAGTAACAGTATTTAGAAATACCCAGTTTTAGTTTGTGTAATGTTTAGCTAGCTGGAAAGGGATAACATTTCACACATAGTTGTGGGTCCCTCAAACGCCTCAATAAGTTGTGTTTACGTGCTGTCGGAAATTGAGGCTTCCAGCTGGTGCAAAACGTTACCAACAATCACTTAGTTAGCTACTTGCTATGTCGAAAAATTGCTAAGTTATAGAGGAGTTTCACATTTAACGCGATAACTAACACTAAAAATACAGAACAGAGGGCATTGCCGTTGCCCATAACTGACTTAACCTCAACGTTAAACTGAACAGTTCCGGCTAATATTTCAACAAGTTACCGTTAGTTAATAACTTTTGATACACTCCATCCTTTTGTTTGCAAGGCTCTCCACGCTACCATTCTTTTCCTAAAGTTGAAAGCCATAAATGAACTTAGTTTCACATTGTTGACAAGTTTTGATCGTCAAAAACGCACTTTTGAGCCATAACGTCCGCGTTCGACAGCAACACTTCAAAGTATAACGTTAGTTAGCACCACAGGGTGTCGGTGGCACCAACAGGCAAGTTAGTAACGTTTCTCAGGATCAACGCTACTACTTTCCCACCATGTGTCCGCTTAAAACACAAGCGCCGCTTACCTACAGATACTTCTACTACGGACCGAGTCCATCCTCCGTGTGTTTTGAGCATGCCGCCGAGCACCCTCCATCTCAGTATCTAAATAGTTGACAGCCGTTTCCCTTTACCAATCAACAACAACGAACCAATACAATCGTGACGTCGACGTGTGGACGTTACGTATTACATATTCCGATTTGACCCAACGTTTAATTAGCTATGGTAATCATACCAGGGAGTACTTTAATAAGTGAAAAAAGTTGATATGTGCATTGTATTAGGCATATAACCTGCCTCTTAATAAAAACAATGGAAAAAATCGGTATTATGTTTCTAATAAACTTTATAAGTGAGATGTAACTAAACTAGATCTCTAGATAGGTTACATGTGACTATCAGGACGTAATTTCAAGTCTTAACATGTTTTTGTGAACAAATATGTAAATCCATCCTTACACAGGCATAGAGGTAGCTTACATCAACTTTTTTGGTGTACTTTGCCATTTTTATCCATCCACACCTATCAGCCAATAATATCAAATTTGCTATGTGTACCAATAACAGGAGTTAAGGCCCAACAACAAAAAAAGTCAGATTAGATGAGACAGTGGAATAATGTCACAGATCATACATTAGAGGTAGATAAGGATCAAGACAGAATAAGAGCACAAGAGGAGGCTTCTGAAGGTTGACTGTGTGCACCATTGCTCACATACTGAAGTCCATTCAGAAGAAAGTACAGCGGAAAAAAAAAAAAAAAAAAAAAGAGTTGCTACAGAATATATGGGAATATGTGGGGGTGGGGAAGAGTTGGAAAATTATGAATCCTGGTTACACTATTGTAAGGCTGTTACACTTTGTGTCTCAGACAAGACAACTCAGACTGTACACAAGAAGGGTAGTAACCTAGGACTGTGGTTATATCTTAGGTGAAACTGGAAATGACTTATGATACTAGTTGCTGTCTGTTGATTTCTAATCTTCAATTTTCCTAATAATGACATCATGGTACAGTATGCTGGTTTTAGGTAAATCCTGTGTGAAGGCGTGAAGTCCAAATTCCTCATCACGGAAAAGTTTGTTGGTATGCTTGACGATATATTTGGTACAACCTAAAGTAAATAGACAGGCATGTAATATGAAAGAGCAGACATACTTATTACACAAAACAAGATGATAATTCATATTTTGCCCTTACAAATATGATCAACAATTACAAATAATTAGTAACAGAATTACAAAGAATAAACTAAGAAAAACCATAAAATTGCAATTTCATAATAATTTGCATGTCAAAATAAAGAAAAAACAAACATGCGGTCCCTTGTACTTCAATGCGTTGTGTGTTTATAGTGTCAGCTTCAGAAACAAAATCTGTGCAGTTACCGCTTGGGTAGATGGCTTTAAGACAAAATCTATATAACTTGGATCTCTACATTTATTGACAAATTGGAAAAAAAAGGTATTGCACAGACAGCTGCTTTGAGAGAGCCCTACACTGCTGGAGCCAGCCCAGTTTGTGTTCTATAAACCAATTGGCAAAGTAGCGCGGTCACTGATGATGACAATGATGTAAACAAAAACCTATTTGTGCATCTTCAGATTTACCAAAAGTCTGAGAACAATCACTCCACCAAAGACATTGGCATCATAAGAAATTCTTGCACAGCACAAACTTGACGGCTCTCTTCTGTTTCAGCTATGCCACTGGTGTAAGAACATGAAATACTTTCCCTTCACAGCAAAACACGGAGCTTCGGTGAGCGAGGAGAAGCTCTCTCTACACACTGCTCTGGGGTCAGCTTCGCTATTAGAATGTAATAGGAGCAGCTTCAGTGAGAAAACATATCATTCTCTCTGTTAAGCGAGCGTTGTGGGAAACTAGGACTTGCAGCAAATGATTCCAGATGCTTATCTCACACACACACACACGCCACACACACATTACTGTGCTGAGGGTAATGCAGACATTGAGAAGACGTTGCTGATTGTGTTAGCCCTACCACGTAACTTTGCCTCATCATGTTAAAGTCCATTCCCGTACTTGGAACAGTGCTTGTACTGAATGCAGTGTATTATTATAAATGTAAATTCATTCTGTAACAGTATCACTAAAAGCAGTCTCTGCTGGAGAACTAATACATGTCTTTGTAGATCTCCTGTAGTAGAGGGTGGAGCGAGGTCTCCGACTCAGTCTTTTTGATCTTCTGTACAAGGTGAACGTTCTCGGTAACCAGCTGACGGAGGTCCGCCATCTTCTGCAGCAGCTTCGGGAAGAGGTAGACTGAGTCAGAGTGGTTTGCTTGAAGGTGGAGGTCTAGGGCCTGGAGGATGCTGTCCTGACTCTGCTCCACCTGCTTCACGTTCATCAGCCCGGGACGATCTGCGAGAACAGGGGACACCTTATGATGAGTCACAAGTAAAATTTTGCCAAATAGAATAAAATGTAACACCTGTTTCACAGTCACACATATTAAAGTATGATGGGAAACCAAAAGGGACGATATGGCCTTACTTACTTATTATTTACTGTTATATCACATTTTTCCCCCACTACTAACCAGCAGTATATAAGAATAACTACTAATAATATAATTAATTGAACTAATGCAACCTGGACACGTTTGGGTTTCCCTGTAAGAGCTTCTAGCAGTGGTGGTACTACTAGCAGTGACAGTGACTGCTACAGGTCTGATGGTGCTGATTGAAAAAGTAAAAAGATTCAACAACCTCCCGAATACACAATTTACAGTTGAAACAATCCCTCTTTTAGTCTGTTGAGAGTGTCTCCCAACATCCTGCAATCAGATATAATGCATACATGCAGATACCCTGAACATAACAAGCAAGTATGACGTTCTTCAAACTAGAAAACCCTTCAGTGTTACCTCCACAGAGAATAATGGCAGCAACAAACAGGGCCAGGTCACTGTCATCCAGCTCCAGAGCGTTAAACTTTACAGCAAACTCAAACTTAGGCTCCATGATCTCACTGAAGGGCTTTCTTAAGCTGCGCAGGAACTCCCTGGTCACAAAGCCTTTGCCATTGGCCACCAGCAGCCCATCTTTGTTCATGATAGAGGGCAACATGGCAAAAATGGCCTCGTGCACGCCATACTTCAGCAAAGTCACCTGCAGAAAAAACACAGATGGTTGTATGTTAGTACCTCAACGAAACAGCGACATACAAACAATCTCACCATATAGCACACTGAGTAAACTCACCTGATCATTAAGGAAGAGGTCCACGAACCCTGGAATGCACTTGGCAAACTCGGTGAGCTCTCGCACCGTCTCCACCGTAGTGCATTGGCAGCGGTAAAACACATGGACCCCAATCTCCTTCGTCAGGGGTGCACCTGGAACTAGCTGGCTCCATACTAAACCACTCTCTGCCTTCCAGAGTGTGTCCACGTCGTAGATTACAAATGGCTAAAAGGAGGACAAAACTGCTTCAGTTTCTAAACAAGATAGCATTTGAAGCAACCGGCAGTTTAGGACCAGAGCCACAAAGCCCTGATAATAGATAGAACAAAATATTCTTGTGATCATATGATGATCATGTATAACTTATAGTTCAATATATCTGTTGAAACAGGCTGGCCAGCTCAGAGGAGCTGTTCTAAAACTGGAATGTACCGAGGTGCTGCTAGTTTTGCCCGTTAGGATGCTGCGGGCCCTCTTCTTGGTCATGCTGAGGTTCTTCAGGTAGGCTGTGTTGACTTGTTTCGCCAAGGTCTTCAGGTCTGAACCACCTGGTTTGCTGTGGTTCAGCTCCTCTGCGAGCAAGCCTGCCACCAGCTTCTTCCTCTCCGCCTCAGGCATACGTCCATATCGGATCGCTGAGCAGACACACATAGACATGCTGGTCTTATTTTGAGTGGGTATTTCCGGACACAGTGATATGGATGGGTTCTGATAACTGGTTTTGTTTTTTCCAAGTTTGCAAAATACCCACTTTGGTAAATCAAAATAAATCGACCATCCCCTCAATAATACCAGAGAAACAGCATTTTTCATGCATGTAAAAAGGTTCCAAAGGAGTTTAGAAGGGAAATTAAATAAATGAGCAGATTTGTTACTCACCTCACATTCAATAAAATCCATCTAAGCTAAACCCTAAGTAAATTACACATTACACATTCAAGTCTTGGATATGTAAATAGAATATGCCTAATTATTTTAATTAACACAGCCTAATTTATTGAGTAAACATGCCAACATATTTTCCCTCTCACCATCATGGGACATTCCCAAAGACAGGCACTTCTGGAATCGACAATATTGGCACTTGTTACGATTCTTCTTCTGAATCTTGCAGGAACGTTCACAGCGGTCATATTCCAGTTTCATTCGCACGGTCCGCCGGAAAAAGCCCTGAGAGAGAGACAACGGAACCGGTTCAGCAACTCATATCAAACAGCACAAAACTATCGTTGTTGACCTTTGTAATCTTACTTAGCTATTTTGCTGTGATGCAAACACTGCATTTACCTTGCAACCTTCGCAGGCATGCACGCCATAGTGAAAGCCAGAGGCCTTGTCCCCACAGACCTTACACTCCACGCTGATCCCAGACCCTGTGCTGTCTTCTCGGCCAAGACGCAGCTGTTCTGACAGCGAGGGTGACGAGGTATGGGACAGGTCTGCATGAAAATAAAACAAACAAAAAAACATGAATATTAAGGCTTAAGAATTATCTGTCATCTAAACGTGTCATGCTTCAGGTCAGGATTTTGGTCTTACCTGTATAGCTGGATGCTGCACTGCTGTTTTGCTTGCTGTGATTGTTCTCCTCATCCAGACTCTCTTTCTCTTTTTTCTTCTGGTCCCCTTTCAGGCCTTTAGAGGCAGGAACTGCCTCCTTCTCCTCCTTGTCCTCCTCATTCTCACTTTCCCTTGCCTTCAACTCTTGCAGGTCTGTCAGCTCCGACACACTTGTCCCCCCACAGCTGTCCGAACCTCCAGAATCTCCCTCTGGTGGCGTCCACCTGACATCAGCCGTGTCCTGTGGGGATTTGGGGGAGGAGTAGCCGTTCACCCTGTCGTGCTGCTCTGTAGCAGTTGGCTGAAACCCTTCCATGGTTCCTGTTGAAGCTGACTCAGCGGCTTCCCTCCTGTCACGTTGCCATCATAGCTCCACTATTAAAGAATGTAATACTTTGATTTAAATAAGCAATATTAAATGAACAGTGTGTACTTAACAAGTGGATTACAGTCAGAGCAGGACTGACCAACAGAACACTTTTAACTGGTCTCAAATGTCCACATATCATATGCCTTGCTATTAGATCCAGCATGTGAGCAGTTAAAAATCCCATTCCAGTGACCACAGTGTCACTAGCCAAACTGAGCATAAAGCTTGTCATAACACCTTGCAGAGCCAAAATGCTCCTCTAAATCTCTGTTTGTCATGAAAGCACACTGTGCACAAGGAATATATGGTGGAGCTATTTAGCTTTAGATCACTTGAAACTGAAATAACAGCATTTACAAGTCTTTGACAATGTGTTTCTTTAGGTGTCCTTTCCCGAGCCAGTCCATTACTACTGGTTGTGTTTCAGCAGCCAGGGAATGCCCTTGATAGTAATAGGCTTATGACATGATATACACACGCTGTGTAGTAGGGCTGGGCGATATGGCCTAAAAATAAAATCTCCGATTTTATTTACTTTAATTCAATTTACGATTTTTTCCGATTTCCCCCCCTACTTAAGGAAAGCAATAAGGTTTGTTGGTCAGTGCGGCTTTGTTCATCGCGGAGAGACTGGCATTTTTCATATTCGGCTGGATGTCTCTGTTTCAGGTGTTGGAATAGGTTTGTGGTGCTGCTGCCTTTCACTGCGATAGGCTTTAGGCAAATGTTGCAGCGTGGTGTCTGTTGTTCCACATCTGTCGCAGCAAACCCATACCAGTTCCAAACAACAGATGACTTTATTCCTTTCTTGGGAACAAACTTCCCGCTCTCACCGGTAGCCATTTTGTCGCTTGCTGTTGCTGTTTAGTGTATGATGTTGTCGCTATGGGAAACGAACACTACGGAAACCCCGGGGAGCCAAAAATGTGCTATTACACAAAAACTCGATTTACTTATTTTTTAAATCGCCCGCAACAAAAAATTCGAATTAATTCATTCAATCGATTTTTCGCCCAGGCCTACTGTGTAGGCATGCCTGGATTAGCCTTTAGGGAAGCAGAACAGAAAAGCAGGGGCCCCAGACCCATTAATAAACCTGAACACCCCAGTTTTTCATTGAGACAAACTTTAAGGCAACACTTTACTAATCTGTGTGGGTGTTATGCCTAAAATTGTTAATAATGACATATGTCTTTTCAAATCCATATCGCCCTCTCTCTGCCTCTCTCGCTTGCTCGCTCATATATATAGAGATATATCATGAGGTAACAGAAACCATTAAAATAACCAGTGACGAATCTAATTCAGCAATAATGACTGACAGATTAAAGCTACTTAATCACCCACAAAAATCACATACAAATCCAACAAAAGCCACAAAGCCGTCCTGCTCATTGATTAGCAACATGCCACATTGGTAATACACCCTCAGATGTGAAAGAGAACGCTACCACAGTACAAACGGTATGGCAAAACCTCTGTTGGTAGACATATTTATTATGCCTTCATGTAGTGTCAGAATAAACTGAAATTTTTTTCCCAACTGGGAAGATTCCGTGAACGCTAGGGGTGGGAATCACCACCAACGATACGATATTATCACAATATTTATGTTGCGATTCGATTTTATTGCGATTTTAAATATATTGGGATATATTGCAATTTATTACCTTTTTCCAACTTCCAATTAGGTCCCTAAAGTCAAACTTTGTCAACATCTGTTTAACTAAGAAGATACACTACTCTGTTTGTACCATCTGAAATTTATCTAATAAAATATCGATACTTGGTGTCCGTGTATCGATACAGTTTTGCCATGGCAAATATCACGATGCTATGCTGTATCGATTTTTTCCCCTACCCCTAGGGAACGCCCACTGAAGTCGGCACAATAACTAATTAAGTCAGAGAAAAATTATGCTACACGAGTTGCCGACATCATACACATTAAACATGATGGACAACATGGTTGATGATTAGAAACGTTGAAATAATGGTGCAAAATTATTATTGCTGTGTATTAGGTTATAACGGCTAGTTTGCTGTCAATGTAGATTGAAGTAGATTAATTAGGACAGTTTTTTATTAGCAGTATTTGCAGAACAAGCTACATTTTATTGGTTTCAGGTAATGTACTGGTGCAGTAACAACTTTGGGACACAAAAGTAACTTTGTAATGGAAAGCTTCAAACTGTTTCAGCATAGTTGGATGATAATGCTAATCCAACACATCTTTACAGTAGCATCCATGTTATTTCCATATTCCGACTTAAAGCACTTGAACACCGAAGTCGGAAGAAAGACTTCACAACTCGGGAAAAGGGACCATCTGAGGAGCACAACGATGCAGCATTACACCACACACCCCAACTCACAAATTTCAATCCAATCAAAGTATGTGTCTATGAGGCTAAAATGTAAATTAAAAATACAGTCCTGCTGGCCCGGGCACAAAAAAGGGCCCCGTTTCTATGTACACACAGGTCCCATAAGTCATGATTCCTAAGCTAATCGCAGTTTCTGGTCTGACGTGAATGTGTCCTAAACATTTCAGTCCGTTCTCCACTATCTGAAAAAGTAAACTTTGGCTCTATTGGAGCTGGGGGACATCTGTATTATTGTTTTCCTCAGTTCCATGGTAGGGTTCACGATATACTTACTGGGTGCTTTAACGGGACAGGGCGCATGCACTATGTACACACTGAGCAGTGTTGATCGCTGGGTAGGAGAGGGGGCTCTGGGGGTTGGTGGGGGGGTTACATATTTGCCCCGGGGCCCCCTAGTGGATTAATCCGTCCATGTATGAAGCTGTGCCCCTGACAAACATCCACAGCGTCTAACTTATTAAAGAGTTATTGATATTTTCAGTATGAATACAGTCATTACATGACGGCCCAAAGCGGGATAAAACCTCAGCTTTTTTTTTCATAACATTTCATTGGGGAAAAAACACCACTTAGGACTGTCAAGACTTGTCGTCCAGCTGCCAACCTGTCACACTGGTTCTCGGAAATTTCTGCCAGCATTACTGTGAATTGTCCTGTCAATGACAGGACGGAGACAAGATAATGTTAACAAGCATAAGATAAATGAAAGGAAGATAAGTTCTAGACATGGCTATCGTAAAACTTTCTATATCTGCGTAAAGTGAAAACAACATCAGGAGTATCTTTAGCATGCCAGGAGGTCGTCGAAGAGTGTCGGCACGGCTAGCTAACTTAGCTAGTTAGCTACTAACCTTGAATGTTGACTGGGTACTACTACTACTAGCTTTTAGCGTTGCTGACCCACATTCCCGTGTTTGCTTTTAAACAACGTTAGCTGGCTTGCCAACTTAGCTTACCTCTCCCAATAGTGCTGCTGGTTCAGTGGATATTTATGCTACAAGGATTTGCCAACAAGGCTAACATAAACTAGTAGCGAAAACAGTCCCGTCCCGGATCGATCGGCTGTTGACAAGTTGTTTGAAGTCACCACCAGGAGTTAGCTAGCAGCAGGAGCTAACGTCAGACTGCTAACATAAACTTCAGATTGATTCAGGCCTTCTTGTGGCAGCCGAGCTGACAAACCGCTGAGCTCAAGAGAAAACAGTTTAGACACTTTTTGTTCGCTACCATATCAAATGAAGAGAAGCGTAGTGGACTGATAATCCCTCCCCGACTCTCCTTGTTGTTCCTAGCTTTGCTTTGCTTTGCTTTGCTTCACCCCCTCTCCTCCTCCATCGTCACATGCCAGGACACAGCGCCCCCCCCAACTCACACACATCAGGCAGCAAACAGCTCTCTGAGAAGTCAAGGTCTCTGTTAAGGCTAACACGCACTGTTGTTTCTGTCATCTGCAACATTTCGGATCTATACTGCAGTGATACGGAAAAAAGCTGTATGTGATTTTGATCATATCTGCAGAGACAGACAGACAGACAGCCTGTCCGTGTAGTTTAAAGCCATTTTAGGCACATTTGTGATTTAAGTCGAAATAAAGACTTTCACTAGATAAAGTTGAATTGCATGATCAAAAACATGTAGAAGCAATTTATATCAAATACAATGATTTTTCTAGACAAATTTCACCAACCAGCAAAGCAAGAAACTATGGCCTAGACCCCCCCGCGTGGTTGCTTTGCTTGGATACTAATAAATCACAGTACCAAAGGATGTGATAAGGGCCTTAAAGGAAAACTATGGTTTATTACAATTCTTAATTTTGTTGCTCTGGCCACCAGTTCAGATCGGTTATGATAACATTGTGCTAAAAACCAAAGTAGCTGATATCTGGCAACAGAACTACCTTTCTAAAAATAGGTCAAACAGGGCAACAAACATACTGCTTTATTACCTGATCTTTAGGCCCTGTATTGACAAGAAGCTCTGTGCCATAATCCAGTTTTAAGACTTTTATTATTTTATGGTGCACATTCCTAATTTAAATTGTGTTTTTTTCTAATCATCACACAGCAATACTGAGACCATGTAATATTCCAGCATGGGAATACTCTACACACTGAACTGAGAGCGGTGTTAATGGTGGGTCTCACATCCTATTTACATTAGGTCAGTCTAGCAGGATTAATCTGGCCATGGTATATACTGTACACTTCAATAAACGTTTTCAGAAAGTCTGCATTCATAATTACATGGCTTTAGAAGTGCTGCTATATGAGAAATACAATTTCCCCAAGAAACAAGAAAGTTAAAAACTACAGTCATCTGCTACTTGCAATGTTTAGTAGAGTTTAAGGTTGTGCAATCTGTAACCTTTAGCTGTGTTTTGTAATTCTGTTACCATAAAAAAGAAAACAATATCAAAAAAGTAACAAATATCAAATGTTTTGGCAGGTAAATTCATCCCACACAGTATATATAGACAATATATAAGAATCTCCTACTTCTATAAGTAAAAGTCTATTAATACTATATATTTGAAATAAATGTACTTATTTATTTTATGGTTGGTAATTGTTTCTGTTTCTACATGAATTATTGCAAATGAGAATAAAAAATAGACCAAACAAAAAGGGGAAAAGTCTGTTAAAACGGATTGATAAAACTATTCAGTATGTAAATAATGAGACTTTTTTTGAAAAATCACCCCATGTAGTTTGCTCGTTTTGTCAGTGGATGTCTCTGTTTCCTTGTGGTTTTATCAGTGAGAGCCTCAAATTAGTCGGTGATGACACATTTTGACAATGAACAAATGAGGTGGACTCAAATTCAAAACTAAAGCGGACGTGCAGTTTGCAAATTCAGCAGTGCGGGCTTCAGCTCGTTCCACTGTGTGGTCTTTATTAAAATGTCAGTCATTAAAAAACATATTTAATGTACTTTAAATATTATTTATTTCAGCTGTTCATTCTGTAAAGTGGCGCTTCAATTTAACACAGTAAAGATAAAGGAAGAAATCAGGTTAAGTCATCACTTCACTCCTTTATTTACAATAATGTTAACTGACAGTAGAAACAGGAAGTTCTCTCTTTCTCTCTCTCTTTCCTGTTTATCAGGAGTGATACTCTTCGACTGAAATTGCAGTCAACTCTAATCCTGAACCAACTGTCTTCATCAAAGTAAAGCCAACCTCCACTCCCCCAAAAATACATATTTAAAAAATGAAACATTGTTATGTGTCTATATTACAGAGCTAAACAAATGAGCTTCATTGTATTGTAAGTAATTATTAGCCTTTAAACATCACAACGTACTTTGTACTTTCAGGATCTTGCTTATAGCTCATTTTCTTTGCACTGAGGTATCGTTTATGTCCAGAACAGGCCTCACACAGGTCGCAGTCAAAGCATTAGTTGAGCAGTGAGTTCTGCAAATGCAAACTTCTCATTAAATATTTGAAACTGCCGCCGTCTGTGAAATGAGGTCAGTAAATTCAACATTTAAAAGAAATAGTAGTACTGTAAATTCAGTTTTAAGTGCAGATGTCCCACTGTTTTCAAATTGTTCACACATTGTAGACAGCCATCTCAGAAAACCTCAGAGTGACTAGAAGCGACCTACGCAGCCTCTCTGATTCATGGTTTTAGGGGATGTCCATGTCTCCATTAGAGGCATGGGAGTGGCGTTTCTCTAAATCAGACCCAGCTCTGTTGTCCACATTTTCTTTGCTCTCCTCGTCCTGATCCTCTGATCCTGATCGCCTTCTGAGACGCAGCCCGGGATCTCTCTGTGTTGGGATCTGGAAGGATGAGAAGGAGCTCCCCAACGATGGTCTCTTCTCTAAAAGCAAGGGAGCCACAAATCAGAAAATTAAGGTTACAGCAGGCAAATTAAATCAGACTCATGGGTCTGTGTCATAGAGAAGACATTCACTTGTTGAAAAAAACAAGAATTTTAGAAATTTAAGGAAGTATATTTACAGAACAGTGTGAAATGTATCTACCATCTCTTTAATCGCAAACAATCTTTCATCTAAGAAAATGGTGTCTTTACTTAAAGCAATGTTAAATGTCATCCGAGCCACAGCCACGGTATTTCACGCTGGCATTCAGTAACCTACAGCACATTCTGGGGAAATAATTCAAATGTTGACTGTAGCATGCATAAAACATACATGATTATTTTCAATACACACGTGTCACAGCATAATATAAGGTGACTTGTTTGTCAGCGAAACACAGTTGTAAGTTTTACTATCAGACATTAGACCTTTTTTCACAGCCAACATCTTGACTTGTAATAAGGTGTTTCCATCAAGCTGTTTTCATGCAGATTTTAAATTTTCACATTAAAAACAGCCTCAAAATCTCCAGAGCCATGAGGAGACTGTAATGTTCCTCAGATTAATTTATGAAACAAACCGAAAAGTCATATTTCCGTCACGCTTTGCACATTGTTTTCCAGCATTTGAGGTTTGACCTCTTCTTGTTAAAATGGGATATTGGCAACAGAAGAATTAGCTGTTTATCTTGATATGCTCAGCTTCTAATATTCACTAGTGGATGGAAACACACATTCATTCAAATTCAAGCTCTTTAAATGCTGTCACGTCACACAATGCATGATCTGCAGATGGAACATACCGCCTGGTCCGATCGGTCGCATCAGTCTGTTCATCTGGACGTTCCAGTGTTTGACGTTGGTGCTCGCCTGGCGAAGTTTCCTCTGGGCGGCCTGTCAGAGAAAAAAAAGAGCAGCTTGTTAAAACGCCGGTTGCCCACACACAATGAAGATATATGCTATTATTAGCATTACCACCAACTACAACTAATATAAATATCAGTAATAAGATATGTTCTGTCAACATAAAATCCATAAAATGAATCAAAGTAATCAAGCAATAGTAGTAACTCTAGATAAATAAAAAAAAGTATTTTGAGCATAAGAGAACTGGTCAGACTCCGGTGTTAGAAACTTGTTTAAAACTGTGGTTTTGGTTGGACTTTGAAATCACTGAACTGTTTTGAAGGACAGATTATAATAAGCCTGTTTGGTTTCATTAATGTCTGTGTTCTACTGCATGTTGTAATGAGCTGTCGTGTATCACAACATATATATATGAAGTTATATACAAATAAATACCTAAAATGAAGTGAAATAGTAATAGTAGTACAGGCTTGAAATTCAACCTAACATTTGTACAGCATAAAATTCAAGCCAAACAGCGACATTTCAGAGATAAGGGACGATAACTTATCTGTTGTGGTGATCATTACTTTCTTATATTTTATTTATAATTTTTGTGTTCTTACCACTACATCCTGGTCAACCCTGTGCCGGTTGGCGCGGACCTCCTCCAGCTGCCTCTGTGCCTCCTCCAGGTCCCGGGACTTGGCCTCCATTTCCTGTTTCAGCTCCTGCTTCTCCCTCTGTGTCTTCAGGATGTACTCCTCCTGTTCCTCCTGCAGGGCCATCAGGGCCTTCATTTTCTCCTCCTCCTCGGCCAGTAACCTAGACACAACAGCAAACACAAGGAGTAACCTTTACTCCTAAGAATCGCATGATTGACTCCTCCTCACTGTTTAATGGCTATTTATGAAATGTTGCAGACGTTGTTGTGAGCAAAGATGCACAGGGCCTGTTTGCATATTTGCGTTAACAGTTCACCCGAATAACTCACTTGAGAAGGCTGAGAACACAGAAACAGC